GATATCCCACTTACTTTAAGTATATTTTATACTAAAATAGGCGCCAAGAAGAGTTTCTTATTTTAGGAGGAAAATCCTCTAAATAGTAATATTGATAAGAATATATACTGATTAGAATATAAAAAGTCTCTATAGAAAAACATATATATCTAACTATCGAAAAAGACTATATTCTTAAATTAAGAATATATTCTTAAATAAAGAATATATTCTTAATTTCAGAAGAATATCATCTAAAATTTTTAAGAAGATTTTTTAAGTATAAAATCTTCTACTTACGAGAATATAATTTTTTCGGTGAACAAAATTTAGGAACTAAACCCTAATTTTTAGCTGCGAGAGCTAACTTTTTTTTTCCGTGTTGTTCGTTATCTCAAACGCTCAATTAATAGAATTTTTTTTTTCAAACAAATATCATAAGAGAATTAATAACAGAGTCTTTAAAAGCCGCGCGCTGGATGCGGTGATATTTTAAAAGCGTAAATTGCACGTCAAATCGAGTTTTTATTCGATGATTTTTTCTTTAAATACAAATTAAAACACAACAATGTTCTTTGTTTCGAGAGAAAGATCATTGCTTTTTCAACCCCCTTCGTTCCCCGTTATCTGCATATGTTATTGTTGTTGGTGCCGGTTAGTCTAGACGCAAAGAAGTTTATACGCGTGCAACCGGTTTGATTGGAGCCGGCGCGTTATAACCCGACTGTATAACGGATCTCTTTATCATAAAGTTATGGCGGGAACTTGTGCGTCGAGACTGCACAAGCACACTTCAAAGTGAATGACACGCACCAGGTGGCACGTGCGACCACACATGATTCTTAATTAAATTAACTCCGATGTTGGTTCGAGCGTGCGAGTTTGTAAACGAATTGACATTGTTGACAACCGCGACGACAAAGTTGATTTTTATTTAAACAAAGTGATCTGATTGCTCGCATGCTCTTATCTTCAATATGTAAATATATAACATTCACGATATTGTTCAATTTTTCAGGTGTTCTCGCTTTCATCAATTGTTGGGACGTGAAATGGGCGACGAGAGTGCAGGACATCTTCACGTACGCCAAACTCGTCGCACTCTTAATCATAATTACGACCGGAGCGTATCAGCTTTGCACCGGTAGGTTCGACCCTGAGTTCAACAATTTCACGCCTGAATTAACACAGACGAAGCAAAACAAAAATTTTCAACAGACACACACACACGCGCGCGCTTTCATAACTAAATAAATAAAATGAAAAAGGACGGATAAAAACATTGGATATAAAAATAGAAAACGAGTATTTTAGAGTTTAACAAAGCATCTTTACGCGGCAAGTGTGTAAGTTAATTATAAAGAACTCGCTAGACTGTGAGTGGATTAAAGGTTACTGACATCGCGCGCGACGTGTTTAAAGCGCGATCGCGTGCGAGTCGCGGCGATTTGAGCACGTTTTTAATCGAAAATGCGTGCGACAGTGCTTTCTCTCCATTTCTTGCGTATCTCGGAAATCTTTCTCATTGTAACACACACGAGCGATTTCACAGATTGTCAGAAAGTATCGAAGTTCTTGCTTTCGACCGAGATAAAAAGTCGGTAAAAATTACGTCAGACGGAGACTTTCTCTTCGTGGATGAACTGTTTAAGTTCCGTCGATCGTTCGAACTTTTTTTTTTTCGGGAACACGGCGGGAATGTAGATTTCGTTTCTTTCTGAAGTGCTTGTCACGTCACGGCGTGTTTTGCGTTGTGAAATAAAATTGCGAGACTTTTGTTTTTTTTTTTTTTTTTTTATATAAAAACGTAATAGGAACTAACTGTTCCGCTCTGTTGTAACAAGAGTTTCACAGTTTGAGATACAACTTTTCTCCGAGAGAGAAAATAATATTCCGAGAAACTGTCGCGATATTTAATATTAAATTTCTTGAACAGAAAGTGAACGTGTGAAATTTTTTTTTATTAAACAACAATTTAATAATTTTTTAAATGAAAGTTTTATTTATTACAAATAGAAGAGAGTTTTGGAAGAAAAAATTCAAGACTGACACATATATGTGTTCTCCCTCTCTCTCTCTCTCTCTCTCTCTCTCTCTCTCTTTCTCTCTCTTTCTTTGTGACTTCCCTTGAATGTCTTTTCAACATTATATACTTGCCGGACGAGACAATTTACCCAATCAAAAAGGTGGGTTAAATACGCAAGCGATGTGACATGGACAGTATGCGTGCAAGGATTACTTAAGGAGTTTATTCACTGAGCTCAATTTGCTACAAATTGTATCAAATTTGGTTAATTATGCTTCTCTTGAAATGGTATACACTTGCAATTAAAATTTTGAAATGCTTAAAAAATGCTTTATGCACGATCCTGTTTTTGGATTCGCATTCAGCGAATGGAAACTTCTTTGTAGTGTTTTCCGACCGGTGCAAAGCAGCAGGTTGAATCGCTTTCCGGAACGATTAATTTGACGTCAATTTGATAAGTCAAGCAATATGATTGGTCGATTTGTCAAATTGACGTCATTAATTGCTACCGGTTGAAAACGCTGTTAAATTGGACTATTCAGCGAACCAAATAGTTTCTTGATACGCGAGCATGATGCGCAATATATTTGATTTTCTGACGAAACTTCTCTCCGATCTTGCGCGCGCTATTCAATTACACCTTTGTCCTCGCGACAATATCGTCTAAAAGTTCACTTCAAAAAAGAATTTAATTAATGAAAAATTAAGCAAGATATAAAAAACTAAAACGTCGAAGTTAAACTTGCTAGGTAAAAAAAAGTGTGTTTCATTGTCTTTTTTTTTTTTTTGCAGGACACACGCAGTATTTCACGTTTGACAATACCAATACAGAAGTCACGTCTATAGCTCTTAGCTTTTATTCAGGCTTATTCGCGTACAACGGCTGGAACTACTTGAACTTCATAATTGAAGAATTGAAGGATCCTGTTAGGTGAGAATCAAAAGGACATCATCGAGCATTCAGTGTAAAACGTGATAATACAAGTTATAATTGAGCAATTCAGTCTGTAATCGTAAGAAGTTTTTTTTAACAAGTGAATGGAAAATTTTCAAAAAAAAATTGTCTCACTCATTACCCGCCCGGTTATTTTTATTTAGAAATCTGCCAAGAGCCATTGCCATTTCGTGCGTTCTCGTTACCGTTGTCTACGTCTTCACGAACATGGCCTTTTACACAACGCTAAGTCCCGTTGAGGTGCTCGGTAGCGAAGCTGTGGCAGTGGTAAGTAATAAACCAACACGCCGCTTTCCATTATATCCCATTATTTTTTTTTTTTAAGTCTAATTACTAGAAGATTAAAATAATTTTCCTAGTGTAAAAGACTTACTATCATTTTTCTATTTTTTTTTTTTTTTCAGACATTCGCGAATAGACTGTTTGGCGTAATGGCCTGGATAATACCGGTGTTCGTGGCTCTATCAACGTTCGGCGCGGTCAACGGCATTTTACTGACATCTTCACGGCTTTTTTATGCGGGTGCCTGTGAAGGCCAGATGCCCGAAATATTGACAATGATCCAAATTTCCAGGCTAACACCCACACCCGCTGTTCTGTGCATGGTAAACGTTTTTTTTTTCTTTAAATTCACTTTATCACTAGAGCGTGACAAAGTCTGCCAGGAATATATTTTTTTTTTTGACATATTTTTCAATCTTTTTTTTTTTATTTTCCTTTTATATTTTCTCGTCACGAAAAAACTGATTGAACTTGAAGTTTTGCGAGTGAACTTTTATATGTACACAAGGTTAATCTTCTTGTCTCTTGACTAACGTGATTGCTGGCGGAGTTGGCAAACAGAAATTCAATATAACGATTTCACTTCTGATAATTACTTTGATTCTCGAATAGATTGAACTCGTCAAAGTGGTTGTTGATGTACAATTGATTATTGATTGCAGGGTTGACTACTTTTTTTTTTCGACTCAAGTGCAAACTTGTTCACAATTTCGTTTTCAGGCTCTACTGTCCATGTTGTATCTGTGCTCTTCCGACATCTTCGCTCTCATCAATTATGTTGGCTTTGCTACTTGGGTGTGTACAATATCTCCTCTTTTAGTTAACGAAATCAACGCAAAAAAGTTGCTCAATTTTTCATAACAGAAATATAAATTCTTTTTTATCCCCAAATAGCTAAGCATAGGCGTTTCCGTTCTCTGCCTTCCGTGGCTCAGATGGACCCAGCCGAATATGTCAAGGCCAATCAAAGTGAATCTGATCTTTCCCATTTTCTACATTTTGGCTACTCTCTTCGTTACAATAGTTCCCATGTATGCTAGTCCCGTTGAAACAGGTGAGAGAGTTTTGTCAATCTTTTTTGTTTTTGGGTTAACTGCTTGAGAGACGATTTGTAAGAAGATTAATATTGTCTATAGGATATGGTTGCCTAATGATACTCTCCTCTGTGCCGGTCTATCTTGCGTTCATCGCGTGGAAGAACAAACCCAAGTTCTTCCAACAAGGAGTAGGTAAGTTATACAAACGCGTATACTTTTGTCAAAGTAAAACTAACTTTTCAAACTAATCGTTTTTGTGCCGTTATTATGTCACGACTAAGATGCTTTTAATTATTATTACAGGGTATCCCAGAATTGTGGCGTGACATCTCTCGTAGGCAGGAGTAAAACTGAGTCAAAAAGTCCTGAACCATTTTTTTTCTATTATTTATAATAAAGGAGTAATTCTTGAGTAAATCAGGCCAATCAGCGCTGATCTTTAGCCAGGTGCACGTCAGTGAACCGCGCGGAGCGCTCACACACACCAGACGCGTGGCTCACCAGACGTGCGCCTGGCTAAAGGTCGGCGCTGATTGGCCTGATTTACTCAACAATTACTCCTTTATTATAAATAATAGAAAAAAATGATTCAGGACTTTTCGACTCAGTTTTACTCCTTCTACCTGCCTACGAGAGATGTCACACCAATTCTGGGACACCCTGTATATAAAAAGGATGGGGCGGGAGACGATATATTATTCCTTTTATGTCGCGCAACTTCGAGTGTTTAATCGATTTATTCTCACAGGCGCCGTCACGAAAACTTTGCAGAAGATGATGGTAGTCGTGGGACCACAAAAAGCAAAGGTTTAGAAAACACTATAACATAAATTTACTCTTGTCATGTCACGCATGATTTTTGCAATCACCTGTTATTTTCTTTCATCTCTTCTACGTTCGCATCTTCACCGTCCATGCCCATCTGCTGCTTGATATTTTTCTCGTCAATATTCCGCATCAATAATTCGTGGTATCTAGTTTTATTAATTATTATAATTTTGTTCATCTCTTTTTTTTTATATCGTTTAAAGCTGCCAAAGATAATACGTCAACTGTTGCTTAACGCCATCTCGCTTATTATTTCTTCAATTTGGAGAAAACATCACTCCTCTTTCAAGATATTATCGTACAACTCTTTGTTTATATTAAATTATCGCATAAGCACCATTATTTAATGTATAATATCGATTTTAATCTTACAATTTCTTTCTCAAATTTGGAAGATAAGATTCAAGTACTTTCCAATCTTTTTTGTACATATCACGAAAACGATTTTGATCATCTTACGGAAGAAATATTGTTTTACCATGTTCAATTCAATTAGTCACCGTAGTTTTTGTCTTAATTTGGCCAAGACATTGTTGAAGTTTGATTTCGTCACGCACCACAAGACACAAGACACCTGACACAAACGCAATAAAAAAAATTGATCTTTTCTCAGAGGCCTTGAACAACTTAAATCTAAGCAACTAATACAGACGCAACTGCCGACTATATACTTACTATTATTCTTATGGCTAGAATCCGCACTTGCACCCGATGACTTTCGTTTGTCATCGTGTCACGGTCGTAAATACATTGCTCGCTCTTGTTACAGTAAGCGCCACAAGACTGCTGCAGAAAATAATGCTGGTGGTCGGAAAGTCTAAACCCGCTCAGGTGTAATCAGTCAAGACGGACCGGATCGAGATCGGGAAGGCGAAACAAGGAAGAATCTTCGAATTATGTCCAGTGTCTTCTTTTTCTTTATCATCCAAAAAAAAAAAAAAAAAAAAGAAAACATATGTTGATGGTGAAAACCTACGTTCACAATATTACTTCAACGACAGTTGAAAGTAAAAGCAAAAGTTTAAATCAATATTAATTAAGAAGAAACCAACACAGAAAAAAAAAGCGTCCTACGACAAGAGACAGCCATATTGTGTCCAGGGGCGCGATAGAACGAAAACCAGGCTCTCTCGCCTTCCAGATCTGGATGTCATCATTTAAGAGCGGATTCGCCTGTCTGATTAAGTCTCGAAATAAGGCTGTTTGTCTCTTCGTTCAATCCATGGCGGTGAGATATGCGCGATGATGAACGACACTGCACACCTTTAAATTCATTAATAATGCAAAACTCTTATTGACAGAAAAAGAAAATTGATTGTCAAAGCAGAATTATTAAGCGCGGTCTCACGCGAAAACTAACGTCAAATGTACTTTTTGCGTAAAGTTTGCGTTAAAAATGTGGGGTAAACAGAGTGAGTAAAACTTCTAACGGTTTAAAAACAACGCGATATACATATCGTTTCGGGAAAGAAAAAAAAAAAACGGACGAATTTTGCGATCGCAGGTTTCATCGCGATTATATCCATCTCCGTGCGATATAAACTGTGTTATAGAACTATAGCGAAAGAGTTGAACTAAAAACCGTCCGCTCGGTGTGTGTGCCAGAAAGTTGAGATAACGTTCGAAATATCGCCATATATTAATTAAGAGCCGTTAGAGTTTTAGTCATAGGGTTTTCCTCTCCAATTACTAGTGTTTGCCGTACACGTACACGTTCCTCGTTGCCTGTTCCTCGTTATCTCAACTTCGGAGGTTTCCCCACTCGGACGCGCACTCACAATTCGATAAAAAAAAAAAAAAAAAAAAAAATCATATACCGACGAATACATTCCATATTTACAGTACTGCTTTTTTTTTTTAGTTCCACACGTCGATCGAGATTTAGTGAGATTCACGTTAGGGATGCAAATTTCTGACAAACTATATGTTTCGCATATTCGTCGTTTATTGTGAGATCGAATTTATTGCTGTAAATAATGTCGTGAATTGATTTTTTAACGTTAAGAAAATTTAAAAACATAAAAAACTTAAAAAATAGTAATATACACACACAGATGCTAACATGTACATATATATTTGTTTGTTTTTTTCTTATATATTTTATTTTTTTTACTGCAAACACTTTAAGAACTTGGAAAGAAAAATTTAATGTAACATTTCATTAATATGCAAATTGTGAAAATTATTGCACAAAAATGGCATCATGAATAACGACGATCCTGCAATGATTGCACTAAGATGATTCGCCATAACGCAACAGTTTTGTCGAAATAAAATTTTGTAAATAATATTTGTCAAAAATTGCGAAAAAGTCGTTATGCATTTTCATAAGTATATGCATGAATTAAGTTGATTTCTTCATATACAATTATATTTCTACATATTTTAAACAT